AAGAGTTCCTCTGTTTGCCTAAGTTTGCTGTGGAAAGTTGTAAGTAGAATCACTGGTATATTGCATACCTAATCAGTCGGTGCGGAGTGATGAACTAACTGATGAGCTCAGTTGATTGAATAGAGCCCCGCATTTGTCTAACACGTCGTCTAGTCTTTCAACCGCTTGGTCGAATCGTATGTTTCAAATTGTCTTTCTCCTACATAGCATTGTCTATTAGTGCTACTTTTACAGCTAGCACAACAGGCAACCAGTTATATGCATAACAGAGAAACTCCCTGGAATGGATACGTCTACTAGGATTAATTTCTGGGATACCGCTCAAAGATAAAGAGGGGAAATTTTGGTCTCGAATGACTCAGTATTTTAAGAAGTGTCACAGGGTAAAGTATGCTGTAAAGTTGGGTTCCAGTGAAATATATCTGGGTATTGCTCCGCCCAACAGTGACACATCAGGACCGCCGTTTCCTCCTGGTTTGGACTCATCAGGTGGCGATAGCCTGAGTTGGGGTGGAACTGGGAGGTTAGTATTTCACGGCTGACACCCTGAGCACTACGCTACGGAGATCCGCGAGCAACGCTTGGCACAGCGAAAATGAAATCAAAGTTGAATTTGGGGAACCCGCTGTTTGGTTGGATTGCGACACGTAACCCAACCCCACAGCAGGTTCCAAAAATAGAAATTTAGGTTTTGGTACCTTTAAGTTCATCACTACACCAGCACACTGGTATTACCTGAATGAATAGGTGACCACTGTAGTAAATGGAAGGTCAAGTGCATAAAAGGTAAGCGGATTAAATAAGTTGCTCTAAAACGCTATATCAGTAAAGGTTTGATGCGGAAAGATACTGTAACAGTTGGCAAAAGTAGGATTCGGACAATTTCAAGAAGCTGCTCAGGTTTTCCTGGGCTTACCAAAAACAAAAGAACGCATACTACACCAACTGGCGCTACCATGATGAGGTTTATATAAGTGGGGAGAAGTGATGAAAAGACAGTGCATAATAACATGTAAAACCTTGCATAAGACTGATGCCTCTTTGGGCATAAAAGTTGGTCACTTACTTATTTCTTTTCTCACAGAATACGTAATCGCCACCTTGCTTTATAATGGCGCAGGATTTGAAAGTAGAAATGTCCTTAAAAACATTAGGATGCACTAATGTCTGATTCTAGCCGTTTTAAGATAAATCGCATAAGTCTGGGAACAGTTATTTAGTCTGATATCTACAAATGCATTTCGTTGTTTGCATACAACCGTGGCCAGTTGTAATGCACGATTTGGGTATTCTTTTGGACTACATGGAATTGTGAGTAACGCTGGTCTTCAGGAAAGCAAATATCACCATTTCAGTGAGAAAACCAAGGTTAAATAAGTGTGAAGACAATAATTATTCTTCAGTAAACTCTTGTCGAACCCAAACGTTTACGAGGTAAAACTTAGATGTTTTTAGCATCAAATTGGGTTAGGAGATAAATTTCCGGGTTGCATGAACAGCCAACTTGATGGCTTAGGGTTAGAACAGGCAACGCATAAAAGTGAGAAGTATTACATAAATTCTTAACGATACAACATATTCAGCGCAAATGACATCTGAACGGTTAGATAATCCTGTTCATTTACGAAGGTATCAGTAGCAAATACATGTATCACCTTTTCGCAAATAACTCAGTCTTCAAATGGCGCATGGATATAGTCTCTGCAATGGACAGGAGTTGCTTGCGGATGCCTCACGTGAAGCGTTCATTCAATGCATTTAAGACTCTGAAGTCATCCGCGGAGGCGTAACATAATAGAGCTGCCTAAGGATTTCTATCGCTTTTGTAGAACAAGACCGGGATGTGCTCGCGAATCCTCTGAGGTAGGTACCCCGTAGTACAACCTGTCTATCTTACACCACGAAAACACGAGTAAACATAAAGAAACAGTGAACGGATTAATGATGACTGTCCATCTGGCAAGATTATTGGGAGCCACCTGTTTTATTATAATACCCTAATGACCATTAAGGCCTATGATCTTCTGGCAGCCGTAAAGCTTGAATTATGTTAGTGTACCTAGGACGTTGGTTGAAGAAGTAATGCTGTAGAGTAGCTTGACTTGTTTTGGTTTAGTGTTAAGTTTACCAGAGAAATACAGACCAAATACAGAATGCGCATTCGCCTGTGAGAAATCAGTGAGGCTTCGGTTCATGTAATACGCTGTTTACGGAAGCATCATCGAATTCTTGTGAAGAAAGTAAGGATGCTGTACACATTTGTGAGACACAGGGGCTGGGTAAGAGTACCATTATTTATCTAACATTGTAGCAGCAATGAGATTTGAGAGAGATTTAGCGCATCAGTTGCAAAGACCTTATGTTCGAAGCTAGTGTGATCCGTAGGATCGTTTAGCCTATGTTGACAATACCACCCGTATAAAATATCTTATGAACTAATAAGTTTCAGCTAGTAGGAATCAGCTATTCTTTAGGTATCCTCTCTATGCTCAGGAGGCTGAAATCGAGGAAAAGGCATGTAAGCAACTGCTATGCGGTAAATACATGAATAAAGCATGGAGATCATGAATTAAGCGTTTTTAAGCGCTAAGAACAATAACCGTTAACCGTTGGTGAAAACGTTGAGCAAAAGTCTGAACCAATAAGACAACCTTAAGAAAAAACGATATAGCATGCAGCGGAAAGATGCTGGTCTTTTGGGGCGATACCACTTCAGTTCTTTGTGAAAGTGCCACGATTAGAGAGTAGATGGATTATTTTGCGCACTAATGCTGCTATCAATGCTTGGATGTTTACTTGCTCCAACAATGTTTTATCAGGAAGTTGTAGGCAGATAAAAAGATAGCAAGCTCCGATTTAATTATAACAACCACTAACGTACTTTACATTTATGAGAAGACAGTTGGCTTTCTGTCTATTCTTCTCGACTCCAGAGATGTTGAGAGTAGCCGCTTTCAGCACTTTAACGTAACGGCTCAAAGCCGAAGTCTGTGTCTGTCGCATATTCCTGCTTTTTGCTGTGATGCTGTTTCTCGCCCTTAATAAATATTTAACAAAAAGCTTAAAGACTGTGAGTAGAAACTGGACGAGAAGCGTTGCTTATTTCTTTTTTCTCTAATCCTCTTTTCCTTGTCTTCATGATTTAGATGGCGGATTGTGATCTAATTATATGTTCTATGGGACTAAACTGGGCACGTAGCAAGTGAATGGAACGACGGACGTTCCCACCCCAAGCTAGTGATCCGACCATTTGCGTAAGCATCCTGTAAATATTGGGAAGTGCTGCTTTAAGAGGAACTAAGCGGCAATACTCTAAAGTCCCAACCATAGTTACACTATTACTACATATATGGAGCTTAGCTACATCGTGCAGTTAGTCGAGTTAAAGACTTTCCAGAACAGTCTGATGTTGTGCGACGCTGTTAACTTTCAAACCTCAGTATTTGCAAAAGAGTATACAGAAGAACTAAGTGGCGTTTGTTAGTAATAAAATATTTGCAGAATGATGATTGACTCGACGGCCACAAAGCAATGCAAAGTTGTATTTATATCAAAGTTAACCAATGTGCCTTATTTGGAGTTAGCTGTTACCACAGTAATTGCCCTCATAAAAATTTCCAAATCCACGTATCCGTCGAAAGAAATCTAGGTACACTTTGCTACGGCATCGAAATACACAGATTAGTGAATTGGAAATTCTTTCGCTTGACTGTGTAAATTATTCTAGTCAGCAAACTATAGTTTTATTATGTACCTAAAAAGTGAGGCGGTTTGCTTTTGGAATGCTTCTGGCGTTTTTTGAGACCAACACGCATCCGCGTCTATGACCTGAACACGATCTGCTACTCGTGGGCATCTTAGCACTCTGCACCCACTCACATCTCACCTCCTTGTAGTGCTTTGATTTTAGCAAATAAGCCTCTGACAGCAGCTAAGCAAAAGCATACACAAAAACAAAATAGGAATCTCTATTGAAAAGGCAAGTAGCAAGTGAAGGCTAAAAATGGTCACCAAAAATAGAGTTAGCTAAGGGCACTGCGAACGGGTGCGGAGTGGCAAAGTGCTCAAGGTGGACAAGCCACCTCTAAGCAGCAAACGCACATGCGTGTGCTACTCACACTTAAATAAATCACATTCTAGAAAGTGCGCCAAGTAAATTCCCATTTACAAAATAAATCACAAAGTTTATGACTTAGGAACATTTTACAAAGTCAGCCGAGGAAGCTGCACCGCTATTATCAGCTGATTTGGGAGCTTGAACTTAAAGTATTAGGATTACGCAATATTTCTCAATCGAATCACAGTTCCGGCAGCTTACATCTTAATAGCATGAATAGTCAAAGATAGCCAAGCAAAATAACCGATTATGGCAACGAACTAACGAGTACAATTCCTCAGCAGCAATCAGTTAAACTTATATGCATGTATTGCTCTAGAGTTATCTTCGCTGTAACTGATGTCACTTTATTCCGATTATCTGTCAGGTTTAACTATTAGGTATCATAAAACCTACTATCCGAGCCAATAGTAGCTCAAGGTACGTTGTCGAAAAGGCTCTTGCTAAGTATCAAAGCATTCCTTGTACGATTATTCAACCGACCATATTAGAGGCCTTAGGGAATCAATACCGTACTTTCTGTTTACTGGGATTCTGTTTACGATCTATTCCAAACGTTAGCCGTTCTCAAGTGATAACTTGCGTTTATTAGCAGACAGAAATAAGAAGTGCGTGTGCTCCAACTAAACCGTAGATTACTTCTCAAATGGTTAAATCCCCCTCCCTTTATTACTCAAGCCTTGTCAAACGTAACTTGTTATAAAATCATGGCATTTAATATATGATAACACAACAGACGATAGCTCAATGCTCTCTCTCCAAGTTATTAACAAGTTGTTGAAAATGACTCAATATCAACGACTTCTTCGAAGACAACCGTGACTCCAAAGCTCTTGCCCGTTCACACAGATTTCTAATCTCCTGGACAAAGTTGTCTTCCATTTTATTTTGTTCCCTGATATTGTAAATGTTGCATTTCTCGGTAACTCACTTCATCTGGACCAACATGCATTGCAAAGATTCTGTTACCATCTGCAGCCTCTCTAAAAAAAATTACACATTAAGTAAAGATATACCTTCAGGATCAACTAAGTTCTTCGGATCAGTTCCGTGTACCGGTTCTTCGGCTTGATCATTTTGTTTCAGATTTTTCAAAGGATATACCGACTTCAGAGCATTCGCCTCGTGTGATTGTTTAACTTCAGTGTCACAAAATGATGGCCTGAAATTTCTCTTAATACCTAAACTAACCTGCGGATCATTATGGAAGCGATAACAAGTTCGCGCAGTAAATTTGGCGCTTACCTGAGCCTTTCCTGCGGTTAATCCGATGCGCTGATAAAATATAACAAACACTAATCTGAATCAGGATTTCATTATGCAATTAGTAGTGTGTGGTAATCCTGTGAGCACTTACCCTTTTCCTAATTTTCATAGTTTACTTTCGTACTAAGCCAAACTACTAGACCACTTTAGTCTCGTCTGCTCTGTAAAAGTTCAAGTTCAGTTAGGACAGCAAAGATAAAATTATTCTTCCTTTTACTTGTCGTTGAACCAGGAATGGATAGGTCGGCTGAAGATATTGAAAAGCCTAAACAAAGGCTGCATTACACTGAAGCGTTTGTACATTTCTACTTTACGATCGCAATTTGTTATTCTTATTAGCTTCGTTAGGATACAGCTTGTTCGAATGAACTCGATTAATATTTTCTCTTTCGAAGCTCCTTCTGCGTTGTCACCCCGGTCTGTTGCGTGCGTCATCATGTCTGCTTTGCGCGGTGAACTTCGCTAAACGGCATGGAACTATCGCAATGCTCACGCTATGCTATACGTCGGACCATACCACTAGACCAGGAAATCATTCGCAGTCGGCAGCTTACAGTGGGTCAGTGACTGTTTTTACCTAGACCGACTGAGTTCCGACCATAACCATTTTTAATGCTCACTCGTTCAACACCTATTTTGTGACCGAGTTTTGTATTTATGGTTGCATTTATTTAACACTTTTCTTTAGGCCTTTTTGAAGCTCAGAACTACCAGTCTCGTTTCCATAGCTTTTGAACATGTTTCCACTAAAAAGATTGTGGGTTTCTCTGTGTCTACCCGCTGTATGCACGACGCTAGGGTTCAGTTGCTACGATTAGCAACAGTATTTCGTTGTCGCCGCATTAGATCGCAGTTCACTACGTGGCTGCGCCTATCCCCAATTGTATCGCCGCGAACCTCGTAGATTCGCTTGACCCATTCCGACTGATGCACTTAACGAAAAGCTTAAAGCTGCTATCCTAAAGCGCACTGCTGCCTCCGAAAGTCCGAATTCAGCAAGTGACCTCCGGTTTTGATCTCTGTGACCGCACATCTCCACAGCCCCTTCGCCACGTGCGCCCCTTAGTCAGTCCTACCAAGGTTAACGAGATTTTGCGTTAGCTATGGATAAGCTATCTCCTAACAAAGACTACAGCTATCCTAGCCTTTTGGCTAAGTTCACCGCGCATAGTAACCATGACGGCGCACGCAACAGACCGGCGTAACAATGCAGAAATAGATGCGAAAGGGAATATATCGTGCGAGTCAAGTAACACGTGCTTTACAATAATAGTGCTCATAAACATAGTAAACTACAAGCATAAAGAAGATATGTGCAAGCGCTACAACACTGGCCAACATACTGCTGCCCACATTTCCTGCAGCGTTGTCCCTTCCAGGCCTTTTTATGTGAAGAAAACAAGAGTGAAGTGCAGGTTAACAAACTAGTGAAGGCACGGCGGATACAAAAGAATAATTCTAAGATAGGAGAAAATACAATAGAAGAGAAAGCTGGAGATGCAAGTTGTTTAGGAGGTTGGTTTGTTATCGCCACCCAAGTGAACCTAACTGAAGCTCGAAACCCGCAACCGTGGATTCCATAACGGCGTGCTCCAGAAGCGAGTTCCAACATCCAAAATCCGGAGCGACAAGCGAGTTTTCGTCCTTACGCGCTCATCACGCAGTTTGTGCAGCTTCAAAGGAGGACATCGGAGACTAGACAGCTTGGCGCGACCACTTAGTCCGGACAAGTCTGGAGTGCTCTTACCCGTTTGGATACGGTAACTGAGAGGCGAGTCATCACTCCTTCTTAAATAGTGCCTTGAATACATACCTAGGCTAAGCACGCTTTCCGTATCCGTTTTCCCCCATACCTCCTGCACTAACATTGTACCCACTCTCGAAACCCTCTCCAGTACCATTTTGTCCCGTACGAAACATGCTAGGAATGCCAGGATAATGTATTCTAGCTAAGGTCGCACAAAAGATGAGGAAAGCTTCACAAAACAATCCGCCGTTAAGAGACCAAAACAGTGTCGAATAACCCACGGCATACGGAACCCATTACAGTCATACCTTCACCACTTGTCTCCAGCGCAATGCGCTGTAGTGTGGACAACGCTTACACCAGCCTGCTGGGTGACGACGTGGATTTCACTTCCACCCACTGCATAGCGCGTGGTGGGCTAGCGGCTCCAAAGCGTAGGACATACATTTTCTACCGATTTATTGACGTTAGAAATAAGGGGTGTCAGCACCAGAGCCCAGCTGAGGCACGCTGAATTGCCTCCGTACCCCTGGGTTGTCCACAACATTTCGGGGCTTGATGTCCACAACAAACACTAGCAATGTTACTTCATGCTACTGGGGTAGTTCACTGACGTATATTACGAAAAGCAAAGACGTTACATTCGAGCAATGGGGAACGCTACTGAGAACAGTGTCTAGCAAAAGGCCACGTCCAAAGCACACAAACACTTCGCTTCCCTCTAGGAAAGCAGACACCCATTTAACGGTGCCACCAGTTATGTCATATGATCACAAATTTAGTGACGTCGTATCAAAAGCTTTCGAAATGTCGTCCAGCATGCCCGCTGTCTGTTGTCACAACCCAGCCTTCGAGAGCTGTAAGCACATAGGCAATAAAAGAATATATTTTGTGGAAACCGTGTTATGCATCTCTGCCAAGGCTAAGTTCGTTCAAGTGGTTCTCCACCGAATCCCCTTCCAGACATCAAATAAATTCACTACTACGCTTGTTAAGCTGACAAGCCGGCTGTTCTTTGGCAAAGCACTGTCAAGACCCGTAAAAAAGGGACAGACGACTGCTTCCTACTACTCCGTAGGTAACCTCCAGCTGTCGAGCTGGGCTGTAACCACGCATGTAAGCGTGCCAGGTGGTTCAGCGGCCACTTCATGCAACAGCGACGGATGAACTTAATCTGGGTCGGAACAGTTGGTAGGCTTATGCCCTTGCGATGGCCCGAAAAATTTTGTCCGTCCTGCTAGTTTTAATTAGTTAATAGTCCTCCTGTACTCTACTGGCCAGCTGAACATGAGGTAAAAGGGTCACCCGAGCGAAAACACCAGTCTACTGCTCGCCAAGTAAGCAAGCTTTTACATAATCAATTTACACACGTGTACTGTCCGCTCGCGGTTTATAAAGCTTGCACCTATATGCCTATTTAGTTAAGCAGGGAACCGTCTGATTTGCTGCAGCTGCGTCAGCGGACTCTTCATACTGAAGCGCAGCCGTCCCACGATATTGCTTGCATTCATTTTTAACCGCGCGATAGTTTTCTTAGGTGTTGGCCGATGAAGTCGGTAGGGACGTTCGCCTGCACTTAGATCACTTCCTGAAAGCCCATTTATCCTTATAACATATCCATGGAGGCTACGCCCTCGTCTTCTTTTGCCTAATGATGGGGAGGTGGGCAGCTGAAACCTCATTAAGTTATGCCCTCAACCTCTCCCAGGCTGCCTCAACTGAATCGACCACGGAGGTCTCACGTCGCGGAAGTCGAGCTTTGCAACGCAATGCCTTAAAGCCTCCCAACCAAATATTTGGGCACATATCAGCGGTAGACTATAGATGCTTAGAATGAGCACATATACACGATACACAAACATTGTCACAGGCTCCTCTAAGACAGCCGTATCTGATCACCTACGTTGTCAAGTGATTTCGCCAAACCCAGAACCAAGGTAGGTGGCAATTTGTTTGCCGCTTATCTAGCCTGGAGGTCCATGAAAAGCTGCAACTGCAGTTGTAAAGTTAGCATGAGAAGGTCCGAACCGATAGTGCTCACCGCCGAACTGCAAGGTTGGGTAGCTTAGCCGAACCCCGTGAAGCTGCAATCGCTCAATAATAGACACATGTTTACAGCCTAAATACGAATAAACTTGCTGTCTAAACAACATCCACTTCACGCCAGCTGGGTGTTTCGGGATAATCCCTGTCTATCCAATAGTTCGTCAGCAGTGTTCCAGGACTTGGTGTCTTTTTCTTGGAAACGTTCTCCGATTTTAAGATCCACATGTGTCTGTTTAACAACACAGCGACTTGCCAGATATGGCCCGTGTTGTGTATTCTGTCAGCATTCTTGACCTAGTCTAAACAGACAGATGCACACAACCCAAGACACACACACACAAAGCGTCCAGTTCTTTGCTTCCCTATTGGTTCATCATTCTCCTTGTGACACCTTAATGTACTCAACCAGTTAGACGTTCATCAGATTACCGCAGTTCGTTTATCAGAATGGTCTTTTAACTTGCTCGTGCATTTGACCTTACGTATACAACAACCCGCTAGTAAATAAAGTTACTGCCTTACAGGAGCATCGTACCCATGTCGCAGGCATCAATCATTTCAACGATTTCGGCAGATGGTCTTCTATATTGGCGACTTCATTGAACAAATGCACCACTCTACAGCATTAATAACCAATTCACTCAACGCGATGACTTGCACATACATACGCAGATATGCAGTATGGATTGGTCAGCTTGCAACGTTTGTGTACCATTACTGATGTTACGCGGTTGTATTATCATGATCATGCCTTTGAAGGCATGTCCCGCACACTGGAGAATAAGTCATTTATTTCGTTATAACTTTAGAGGTGCTTCCATGATGCTGAGATACCAATACAATTTTAATCTGGGTAGAGCAAGTGCACAACATAGTGGACAAGGCTTCATCGGTTGGATCTAGTGACGTTATACAAAGATCCTCTTTACCTTCTTTTACAGCCCACATAAAGTTATACCCCCAAAACTTGGTGGTAAACGAAGCGGCATATATATTCAGCGCCTGGCTAAGCATACCTACTTTACTCTCTTTGCTATCTAGATACAACCACCTTTCAGTGAACTGAGTATGTCGGGACACGAGTTGTCTAAAGAAAGCCCAACCTTGTGTACCATGTTTCAGAGGCTGTGCACCACGCTACGT